TCAATTTTGATCAATATTCAGTAATATTAGCTGGGGACCATCCAGTTCTTCTGGTATTGTGACAGAGAAGGCAATTGTATGTGGAGGCTATTGGCCACACATTCCATATTATCCTGCTGTTCTTGGCATTCTTTTTCCTCTTGCACTGAGTGAATAGAGACCACTTATTGTGCATTAGATAGTCACTTATAAGCTTTTATGACTACAAGTTCTATGTAGTGAACAAGGAGGTAGAACAGAAGCATTAAGCTCATTACTAGACCATTAACTGGGATATCCCATTAAATTATGACCTTAACCCTCCAAACCAAGAAATCAAATCCCATGACGTGTTTGGTTGTATGTAAGCAGTCTTATCAGCTACTCTTGTTTTGTTATAGTCTGTTGTTGTAAATAGATTTGTCATATAACTTTTGAAAATTTTTTTACAGGTATTCATCTTATTGACAGTGCTTACAATAGTTGGCTGCGGAATTGTACTCTTTAGCCCCAATCCCTTTTCCCTATTACACCAACTAGTAATAAACTTTGGTCTCTATACATTTGCCTTTTCTTTTTTTAAAGGTGAAGTCATAGAATATTTGTCCTTTTGTGATTGACCTAGTTCATGCAATTTAATGTCTTTCAGCTCTATCTATACTGTAACATGTATCAAGAATTCATTTCTCCTACTGGCAGAGTAGTGTTCCATTGTAGAAATGTTTGCCAATTTTTTTGTTTTTTATTCATCTATTGATGAGTGTTTGAATCTTTTTGTCTATTTTGAATAGTACTTTAATGAACATTGGTGGTGTACAAGTCTCTATTTAAGTTTCTACTTTTAAATCCTTTGGGTTTATACCTAAGGGTGGAATTATGGGACCATATGGTAATCCTATTTTAAGTTCCTTTAGAAACAGTTTTCCTCAATGGCTGTTCCATTTTCCATTCTTACCAGCAATGAATAAAGGTTCCAATTTCCACGCATTCTTGCCAGTATTTATTTTGTTACTTTTGTTTTAGCCATTCTAAATTACCAAACCAAACCCACTCCAGTCAATAAACTCCAATTCGAGAAAATGTTTTGAGAATGATGAGGGCAATGATAGTACAAGTGCGATTTACACAACTGATGTGTGTATGGATTGTGATAAGAGTTGTATGAACCCCTAATAAAATGATAAAAAAACAACAACACTCCAATTCATGGTGACCCTAAAAACAGAGCAGAACTACTAGGATTTCTGAGGCTATTGTAGGTTTCCAGACTTACCTGGCCTCCTACCCACTTTTCAGAAAAAAATTACTCAGCATCACCCTGGCAATGAAAAACTATTGTATAGCCCCAAATCCAAGATAAGGTGTAAATACCTGCTTTTGCAGCCCCCTTGGATTGCAAGTCCAGCACTCCCTATGTCCCCAGGGTGTGGTATCACCCACTTTGCGAAATACTATTGTAAATCTTTACAGAAACTGACTGCTTTATCTTTCTTCCTTGGAGCAGTTGGTGGGTTGTGGCTACCTACCTTTCAGTTAGCAGCCCCTCATGTAATCTGTGCTGCCAGGGCCCCTTTTACCCAATCGTGCTGGGACTGAAATGTTGTCTTGTGGTTTTGACATATGTACATATCTGATGGCCAATAATGCTGAATATCTTTTCATGTGTTTGATGGCCATTTGAATGCCCAGTTTTGTGAAATAGCTATTCAGGTCCTTTGCCCATTTTATGATTGTTATTATATAATTGGGTTATTTATCTTTTTGTTGTCATCACATACTTTTTTTGTATTTAGCCATCACGTTATAATTTGTTTGTTTTCCTATCTTCAGACTGAAAGTCCAGGAAGGTAAATAAATTGTTCTGTTGGTCCATATCAGAAGTGTTTGAATGAAAGGATGCTATGTTAATATATTGAATCTTTTACCTAATTCCATAGATTATATAGTATAAACTCTATTTGATAACATTTCACTTGCCCCTCAACCATAGAAAAATAGGTGAATTTAGATATTCTTACCTTTCTAACTCCTCTCCCTCAGTGGCACCTTACCCAAGATTTTGTTTGTAAAAGTGCTCCAGTTATATTTTTCCCAACTTGATATTGAGGCGTATGGTTTAATAATGTTATAAATAAAAAAATCAAACTTAATGCTGTTGACTTGATGCTGACTCATGGCAACCCTATAGGATGGGGGTAGAACTGCCCCATTAGTTTCCGTGAATGTGACTGTTTACAGGAGTAGAAAGCCCTTTCTTTATCCCTTGGAGTGTCTGGTAGTTTCGACCTGCTGACCTTTTTTGGATTGCAGGGTAATGGGTAACCACTATACCATCAGAATCCTAGAAATGTAATGTTATAGAATACTTGAAATTCAGGTGAGACAAGTATTAATTCTATAGCTGTGTATCAAAATTAGCCCGCTTTCCACTTTAATAGTAGAAATTCTTCCTAGTATTCTAAGGAAGTGGCATAATGGGTTAGCACTGGGCTGCTAACTGTTCAAACCCATCAGTTTTTCCTTGGGAGAAAGATGAAACTTTCTGCTCCCATGAAGATTTACAGCCTCAGAAACCAATGGGAGCAGTTCTACTCTGTTTTATGGAGTCACTATGAACTGGAGTTGACTCTGTGGCGCGCCTGTGTGTGTGTGTGTGTGTGTGTGTGTGTTAGTTCTCTAGCAGTTAACCCACCAGTTGCCATTGAGTTGATTTTGATTCATGGTGACCTTTTGTGTCTTCAGGTAGAACTGTGCTCCATAGGATTCTCAACGGCTGCTCTTTTAGAAATAGATTGTCTGTCCTTTATTCTGAGACACTTCTGGGTAGTTCCTAACCTTTGGTTAGCAGCTAGCACAGTAATTGTTTGCACTACCAAGGGACTCCAGCTAGAGGCTAAGCAATCACAATCCTGGTCTCAGCATGAATGACTAATAGGCAATTTTCAGAGGAACAGTTGCATTTTAATTGAAGATTTTGTTAAGTAGGCCAAATGGCAAATTGGGAAGTTAGCACATACTTGTATTTTATTAAACTAGAGACTGAAATATGACAACAGATCTTTTAGAAATTTATTATTACAATATAGGTAAGCTGCTAGCATTTTCTCAGGCAAAGATTTGGTTCTTTACTTGAAAAGGATGTTTTCTGTTTTCTGGCTTGAGAGGATTTATCTCCAGGAAATGCATATTTGAAATATTTGGCAATCCAGGATTGTTGTTATGAATGCTATTGCCATGTTGCTAGTCCAGTCATCTCATAGTGGCCATATATGACAAAAGTAGAATGGCCCTATAAAATTTCCTACACTGTAATCTTCACAGGGCACCACTTGTCTCTCAGTTTGCCGAACTGTGGTGGCCTTTGTTGCTATGATGTTGAAAGCTATGTCACTGTTACTTGAAATACCAGCAAGGTAACTTAAAGTGAACAGGTTTCGATGGAGCTTCCAGACTAAGAACAGACTATGAAGAAGGAGTAGGCTGTCTACTTCAGAGAAATTACCCACCGAAAACCTTATAGATAGCATGCAGGCATTCAAAATATGACTGGGGAAGAGCTACACTGCCTTTTCAAAGTAGAGTTGACCTCAGTAACTCAGGGTAAAGCGTGCTGGAGTAAAGCCTTGGGGACCATCATTTGCTGATAGAGCATGACTCAATGAGAGGAAACAGCTCCAAACATCAATTAATAACTGGAACTTGGAAGGTATGAAATATGAATTGAGGAAAGTTGGAAATTGTGAAAAATGGAACACAAAAAGATTGATATTCAAGGTGTTAGTGAGTTGAAGTAGAATGGTATTGGCCACTTTGAATCAGAAAATCATACAGTTTACTATGCCAAGACTGACACAATCAAGAGGAATGGCATTGCATTCATCGTCAAAAAAGGACATTTCAAGATTTATCTTGAAGTACAATGTTGCCTGTGAGAAAATATCTATCTGCTTTCAAGGAAATCCAGTTACTACAACTATTAGTTAAATGTATCAAAAA